TCTCTCTTTCTCTCTCTCTCTCTCTCTCTCTCTCTCTCTCACACACACACACACACACACACACACACACACACACACCACATTTTTCGACAGATGCACACACTCAAGCACATACACACAAACAAATTTCAAAAGATACACACACATGCGCGCACAAAAGAGTTTTCATTATTATGATGTAATGTTTCAGACTCCAATTGTCCTTGGACATTGCACTCTCTGACACATTATTCAGCTCATGAGAGCCCCAGCTCCCATAGTCTTCTTCCATCACACGTTACGTTATAAAAATGTTCCACTCGCAAATTGCTCAACTTTAATGAAGGCTCCACTAACGAAATCGCCTTTCTTCATTATTTGCACTTCAGACAATTTCCATTTAAAAGAACAAGGAGAGTTGGTGGTTGGCGGGTGCCCTGGTGTGGTTTGCTCCTTCTTTCCTATCAAACATCTGTCGTCCTTATTTCCCCTCCTTCTTGTTTGTGTATGTTACTCTCTTGTGACACATAATCTATTCTTCGGCAATTAATTGACCTTATTGTGTTGCAAGTGCCGTAAAACTCTTACTAAAACTTAACGAACAAGCTGAGTCTTTACTGATTCAAAATAATAAGTCTGTTGTTTTTTTGTAAATTTTAAACAAATTTACCATTTAAATCACAATCTTGGTTTTTATCTTGGTGAAATCTGTTTTTTTCCCCTTGGAAAATAATAATTAAATAACATCAAATAAAAAGCAACAACGCGTTGTGACTTACGGTTTTACTTAAAATATCGTATTTCACTTAAGATTTCTTTTCTTTCCGACGTGTATTTAGCTCTGAGCTGTTTCTAAACGTTCACATTTATTGGTGCTGGGCTGGGGTTAGATGGCGATACTGATAGGTCCTACTCTTTTTCTTTCGCCCACTCATTATTTCTGTCCATGTGTTCTACGTTTTCCGTGCACCAAACCAAACTCTTGTCGCTGTGGTCGGAGGGCGGCACAGGTAGGTCTTACTTCTTTCCTTTTCCTGTTTTTTTTCTCTCTGTCTGTCTGTCGTACTTTTTTCTAGCACTTAAATGATCATCAATACCGCGATGTGCTTCTCGTCTCTCAAACAAACTTTTGGCTTGTGGCGCGTTTTGTCAGAAAGTCTTCCAAATTGACTGAGGCAGGCGCCTTGTGTCTCCAGTACCAATGGAATTCATTTA